ATGGCTTCTCGAAGCCCTTTACGGTCGCCTCTACGACCAGCAAGCCCGGCTTGCATACTAGTTCCGTGTTCAAGAGCACGGAGCTCTTCAGGGCTGGGCCCTGTTGACCTTTGCCTCCCTGAGGCTCAACAGATCTTAGTTCTTCCCCAGTAAGTCGTCACGCGCCTACTGAGTGGTGTCGTTTCCGACGAAACAGACTGGTAGGAATTGGGACGATGGTTCAAAGAACCTTGACGCGCCTTGCGCAGGGGGCAACCGTTCCAACGATGACGGGTGTCTCCACAGTCAAAACTGTCGTGTGCTTATGTGCTGCCCGGCAGCTCGGAGCTTCGCTCCCTCAACCTCAGCATAGCTGAGATCCATGGGCACAGGCCCTATCGACGAGCTGTTGGAGTGTACAGTCCAACGAAGTCGTGCCGATTTGAAATTGAACTCGGCATTTTATGCCACATTTACGCCTCTTCAAACGAAGACGGATGCACACGGAAGACTTCCATCCTGGCCACGCACGTACGAAGGCCATCCATTTAGACGGTCACTGTGACCGCCTCCGAAAGAAGGTCATCTGCCACCCTGGCAATGAGAGTGTGCATCCCTTGGACAAAGTCCACCAATTCCTTTTTGCCCTGTCGGGCGGCAAGGCAACGCGATCGATGCGATATGCCTGATTAAGCGGCGAGAACACTCGTGAGAGTCGCAATTTTCAGCTCCGCCCAGGAGGGAAAGCAGCTTCGACCGATGTGCCGCACGTCAGTGCCCATTCTCGCGCTCGACCACCGAGCTTTGAGATGACCAGCACTAATCGCTGTTGCTCGGTCTGGAGCATGGCAGATGCGATGACCATCTCGACCTCTCTAATCCAGAGCAGGAGATTCTGTCCATATTTTCCCTCAAAGACCTTAACGCTCACCATGAGCGGCTTAGGGCGGGTGGCGGTGGCGTCGACGCAAATGAAGCAGACATCTTCTGCTGCAGGTGAACTAGCAGCGCGTTTTCGTAATTTGAAAACGCCTCTAGACGCGCACCGATTGCCTCGAGCCTTGCGCAGCAAGGTGTTACACGCCCTCAGGGCCCAGCAAGGACATCAACTTTTTAAGCCCGTCCTGCATGCCCTGGGCAAAGAGGAAAATTGTTTCATCCTCACAGCAGATCAGTCTAAACGACTCAGGTGTAGATTGACAAATAGTACTACCAAGTGCAGCGGGGCTGCCGTAGCTTTGCGCTTAGAGGAAGCTTAATTTAGGTCGCCGACCTTACGTTCTTCACAAGAACCAGTACGAGCGTAGCGGATCGCAACCCGCTACCTCCAAGAGTAGTTAGAACCTTAATCCAAGGCTAATAAACTCTAAATGTAAACTGCATTTATTTGATTTATCTGTGGCAAAGCCGCCTAATTTTCAATGCATAGATTTTCCTCAATATATACTCCGAGTGTAGTAAATTCTC